ATAGTTCATAGGTAGATTAATGCATGGGCCAGCTAGGCATGAGCCCCGGGGTCCCAACCAATTCAGGGCTCTGGCCGTGGGATCCTCATAAGAAGAGAAGTAAAAGCTTCAGTTTTAAACTTGGCACCCATCTTTGGTGCCAAGTTTAAAACTGCAGCTTTCACATTTGCTTCCCTGGGATCTGGAATTGGGGTCCCTTCCCCGGTGGGGCTGGGGGGAGGGAGGAGAGGGCTAGGGTCGGGCAGGCCAAGCTGCACTGTGCCTGGGGGAGGGGGGTGGGCCGGGTGGCTCCACGTCTTGTGGGGAGGGGGCTGAGTCAAGCTGGGAGAAACGTGCCTCACTTGGTTGTGGGGAGGCAGTTGGGGCCAGGCCAGGAGTGCCGCGCTGTGCTGAGCCTTTGTGGGCAGCAGCGCTGGGAGGGCCTTGGGGGCTATAGCCCCCCAAAATTCATCTTAGCCCCCCGCAGCTGAGCCACCCCTTCCAGTGCCACTGCCCACCCACAGAGAGACAGTGCGGCCCCACTGTTCCAGCCCAGCCCAGCTCAGTCCAGCCCAGTAGGTCCTCTGTATTTGCCTGGCTGTACGCGACAGCTGGGCAGTGGCTCTCTGCAGGTCAGTGTGACAGGGGCTGCGTGGGCCTGTGTCCATATGCAGAGAGTGAGAGTAGAGATCACGGCCTGTGTCTGTGCACATTGTGCCATAGCAGAGGCGGAGGACAGGAAGAAGGGGTAGGCATGTGCCCCCAGCCCGGTGGGGTCCACCCAGCCTCCACCACCAGCACTAGGAGGGGAAGGGGCCCTCCCTCCCCCCCTGCAGCCCAGCTCCCATGGGGGGAGGGAGCTTCCCATTTTGTGCTCGCCCCAGGCCATAGTGCACCTTATTCCATCTCTGGTGTAGTTTTGCTAAGAGGTTAGACAATGGATGTTATGCTATGGTTCGGAAAGGAGTGCTCCTGCCTCAGGCAGGGGGTTCATCTTTGGAGGTCCCTTCTAGCCCTACTTCTCTATGATTCTAAAAGTACAGAAACAAAAGCTGATCTTGTGAACACAACAAAGGAAATTTTGTCATGTTCTTTCACGCTCATTCCCTAACAAATTTAGACCAACGTTATTTTGGAGGCACTTGGTATTTTTTTGACTGCTTATATTTAGGAAGCCAATCTTGGATTTTCAAGAATACTACATCTGCCACACCACTGCTGTCAATAACTGTTTAGCTTTGTTAGAGGTCAGTATTGAGGGATCTCATTTGGGCACTTAAACTTAGGCCCTCAGGTGAGCTATGAAGGCTGGGGATGGAATCCCGAGGGGCAATGAAGGAGCCCCAGGAGTGCAGGAACATGGAGGAGTCTTGCGGGGCAGGGTTGAATCCCGGAATGGGAGGGCGGGGGGGGGAGATTCTTTCCTGTTAGTCCTCAAGGCCCCTGCTGGCTTGAACATGTGACTGCTCCAGACTCGAGATAGCACTAACACTGATCAACATCTAAGGAGCTCAAAGTGCAGCGTGTAACAAGGCCTTGATGCACAGAAAGAGTTAATCCTAAATCCGAGGTGCTTAGATGATTTAAATTCTTTTGCAAGCACGGTATTCAAACACTGAAACCCTTCCCTTGACTTGCTTATATCCTACTTTTGAGTCAGTCATCTGTATGTACTCTGTTGGTAACAGCAGCAGTGGCTCCCATGATAGTGCTGCTGCTCCACCCACCTATTTTTCCTTCAGTGGAGGCTGGTTGGCACAAAAGTTAGTTGGCCTTTGCCCCCCCTGCAGAGTGGGTGTTTCATCCCAATTTAAACCAGAGCCTAGGTTCTAACTCAAAATGTCAGCTGCACAAGCTGTCCTAGGCTTAAATGATCTTCAAACCAGAATAAAATGTTTGTACATGGAGCTTGAGTTGCAACTGGGATTAGCTATGACATATTCCAAGTAACAATGCTGGAGATTTTTAAAGGCACACATGGCAGTGGTGCCATTGAATGCCATGGAAATTAAACACCTCACTCTTGTTGGTGCCTTTGAAAATATCTTCCCCTTAATAAACAATAATAAAAACCCCTCTGCCTGCCAGAAACATTGAGAATACAGCAGGGAGTCAGGGATTGCAACAGAGAGGTGGAGTCTTCAGTGAAAAGTTAGGCAGCTCGGTTGCAGGGGGGCAGTTACACTTGGAAAAAATTAGCTAGGTTTCAGCTAATTGAATATATATATATAAAACCAGTGGGTGGGCAAGTGTGTTGGAGCAAGGATGTGAGGGAATGAATGAAGGTTGAGGGAAAACGGGATGGAAACAGCAGGGTAAAACAAAACAATTAATTAAAAGCCACACATGTTGGATTGATGTCTCCAGAAACAGTTGAGGCTATGTGGGAAACTATTTGGGACCTTCAAACTAAGTGTTAGCACTTATACTAGGTCAGGCAGAAAACAGCAGCATCATATGTGGAGAAACAGAAGGAACAGACAAGGTGAAAAGAAACAAAAGCCAGTGTCTCTAACAGATAAAAACCAAATTTCACTTTAATGTGCCAACATCTGCTTCCAGATGCCCTGTGCTATGTACACAGCAGAGATGGGGCAGTCCTTATGTGAAAGAATGAATGGACACAAATTTGACATTGCTTCCAGAAAGACAGACAAGCCTGTGGCAGGATACTTTAACCTCTCTGAAACTCCATCATTGAATGGAATGTTCTTAAATAATAATCTTTAACAACCAAGTTGATCACAAAATTGCAGAGCAAGCAATCATCCACAGACTGGATTGTGTTAAGTAAGGCCTCAACAGAAGCTCTGGGTTCTTAACCCACTACCTGGAAGAGCCTTTCTTACCTTTATGTCCCTCAGTGGGTTAATTGCCGTGTTTACCTCTCTCAGTATTGCCCCCTCCCTCTGTTTTTTCCTCCCCTTTCCATTTATATTTAAATTACATTTTCTCTTCCTATTTAGCACCTCTGCTCTCTGCAAGTCCATTCATAGCATTTGTCAAAGTAGGCTGTCACAGAGGAAAGCTTTTGCCTCTCCAAAGGAGTTAGTTTCTTTCTTGCTTTCTGCTTGACTTGAGACTAACAGAGCTAAATACCTCTCTCTTATCACTCAGTATTTTCTCCCCCCCCCACAATTTAGCTGCCTTTTCTCCTTTTCAGTTGTAAATACTTTTGGGGTAGGGAGATGTTTCACATGCTTTCACCTTGTCTAATACACCCCTGCACATTCGGTAAATAACAGTCACTGCTGCTAGCACCTCCTAATGGGCACACATGTATATGTGAGAATTAGGAATATGATAATTCTGCATTTTTACCATCTCAAATGACTACAAATGAAAGCTTCAGTTATAAGTCTGTTGCTGCACCATCCTTTCCAAATTGCTTGGTAACAGTTTTTATTTTATAAAAGGCACATACTTTCCCAACTACTTGTCAGTGCCACCTCTGGATTGAAGTTGGAAGGAAATATTTTTAGCTTGCCACTCTTAGGCCTCAGATGTTTATGATGATGCAGGTGCTGCTAGGTACCAACCTCCTCTCTGAAGGAGATACAGTTGTGCCCTTATTTAACAGTTACAATACATTTAACAGTTGAAAGAAAAATACTGTTGCAAGTGCATCATTTTCACATTTAACATTTGGAAGATTTCTCACCACTTGGAATTGTATTCTAACTAGAATTTCCTCTTGCCTAGCTCCCTCCCAGGTACTCTAACTGGTCTGGGGAAATTCTATCTGTCTTAGGCCAAAATGTGCACCCAAACATTCATGCAGAAAACAAACTTCATCTGCAAGAACAGAGGTTTTTACTCTCTAGAGCTGGTTGGAATTTTCTTTCAATAAAATGATTCTGTCATGAAAGGCAATTAGTTAATTGACACATGGCTGATTTGGCAACAATTTTATTGAGAACAGTCCTACATTTCAAATACATTTCAGATAAAGATGCCACAGACATCAGCTAGGTTGGGGGGATCAGCATCAGGTAATATATATTATAGGTTGAAGTCCTTTCTACAGAACAGTGTCCTTACGTGGCTTCAGCCCAGACTTCTTCTTCCAACAAGATTTCTAGTTGCTGTCCTTTGTTAGGGTGGTTAGTGAGGTACACAGCTGTCCACTAGGAACTGATTGTTGAATCAAGGCAAATGTGTTTTACAGAAAGGCCATTAAATTACAACTGGTCATTATATGCTTCAGGACAGAATGTGAAGCAGCAACATGCAAGGCAAATCAATCCTTGCTATCCACTTCTCTCTAGCTTTCCTTACATGCTCCCTTTTGCTGCCAGGTTCTACACACTTTGGATTTCTCCTGTGGTCCATGTTGGGCTCTGTAGTAGAAGCTCACATCAAAGAGTCAAATTAGAAATCCAAAGTTTCTTCTCTTGCTGTCCCATGATCCGCCTCTTTTTGGGCAGCAAACTCTTAGAACTTCTAACTACCTGGTTTTGCTGTGATGCTGGTAGCTGGGAATATGTATTCGTTTGCACACATTAATTGACAAGTTTGTCTTTGCAGGTTAACCACCATGCTTCATAACAGTTTTAGCTGTGGTTTATGCAGCAGAAGTAGCAGGTACAGCTACAACTTCCTTTTGTCCTGCAGCAACTACGCACAAAGAGGACAGTATGGCCGAGATGGGAAGGAAGATAATGAAATTGAGCTGCTATTTCAGGAAGGGCTTTTTTTGGAACAGCACAAAAAGAGAGTGCTCTATGGTTGCAGGGGAGGGATGGGAAGGTGAGACTAGCAGTGCTTGCTGGATAAACTACATTAGGGAAAATTCAAGGTGGAGGGAAAAGGACAGAACATGGCACCCACTCTGGCCAGATTGGGGTGTGAGCTTCATGTGGCATCTGTTCCAGTTGGCCCAGGTCGGGTGCCACATGCAGTGTGGATCCTGGATTAGCTAGAATGGGTGTTGTGTGTGGCACAGTCCTAGACTGGACAGATTGGGCTTCAGATCCAGCATGTGGGGAACCCACAGAGACCTCCCCATGCATGCTGGATACCTGAGCAGCCATTCTGTAGATTCCTTCCCTATTGCTGCAGTCACACCTGTAGGCATATGCTTCTTTGGCTCCATTTCCTCTAGCCAGGTAAGTTGTCTCTTTGTTTCGTTCCTCATCAATGTCCCAGAGAACCAGCGTGGCTCCTAGAGGGGCAAAATTTAAGGCAATATCCCTGCCAGTCCCATTTGCAACCCTGTAATATTGTTACACTATTTCACCTGCAACAAGTTTGTGTAGGAAAAAACAGGGTAGGCATATGCTTCTTTGGCTCCATTTCCTCTAGCCAGGTAAGTTGTCTCTTTGTTTCGTTCCTCATCAATGTCCCAGAGAACCAGCGTGGCTCCTAGAGGGGCAAAATTTAAGGCAATATCCCTGCCAGTCCCATTTGCAACCCTGTAATATTGTTACACTATTTCACCTGCAACAAGTTTGTGTAGGAAAAAACAGGAACTCCCCCCAGGGACCCCCCCCCCCCCCCAAAGTAATAATATACCATTAATACCAAAATGTGATTGTCTCCAATATGGTGTTTATGTGGGACATGATTGTTCAAGTAGCTGTTGATGAAGATGATTTTCTAATTAAAAACATAATATCATTGAAACCCTTAGGAAGAACAGAATGGTCTGGACACACTGACATAGCTAGTGAGGAGCAACTACCCTGAATGCCAGTGGGGATAGGGGAGGGAAAACTTGGCTTTTGCTGCAGCTGCATAATTGGTGTTGTGAAGGCAGTGGCAACCAATAGTTACTGCTGCCCCTGGGTGTAGCAGCTACCCTGGGCACCAGGCTGCCCTGGGCACACTGCTGTCTGGGCCTGTCATACATTTATAACATCATTTTTCTACAAATAAGCTCTTGCCCCTGCAAGTTATTTGTGAATTATTTTATAATCTTGCAAGATCAGGCAAAGAAACATACAAACTATTAAGCAAGTACTGGACACGGTGTCAGTTTTCCCTCTGATCAGATGGACCGCTGCTTGGTTTCCTTGGTTTATGCATTTCTCAGGTCAATCATTTAGTGAAACAAGCTTCAATCTATGTAGCATGGGATATTAGAATCTAGGAGGAGTGGCATACAAGCTGGCTGACCTGCTCCACCGGGCTTTAAACTAAGCCCGCCGGGGGATGGGGGGACCACTGCCACTGATGGGCCGCTGAGCAACCCTTGCAAAGCCAGAAGGCCAAGGCACTTAAGGGAGCCCACCCCTGCTCCAGCCCTGGAGTGAGATGTAGGCAAGGCAGGGGCCCCCAAAGGGACACTTGCCTGCCTGTACACAGATGCCAGGAGCTTGGGGAATAAAGAGGAGGAACTTGTCCTTCTGCTTAACACACATAATTACGATGTCATAGGGATAACGGGGACCTGGTGGGACTCTACCCATAACTGGACCACAGGTATAGACAGCTATACCCTGTACAGGAGGGATTGAGTAGCGGGGCAGGGGCCCCCAAAGGGACACTTGCCTGCCTGTACACAGATGCCAGGAGCTTGGGGAATAAAGAGGAGGAACTTGTCCTTCTGCTTAACACACATAATTACGATGTCATAGGGATAACGGGGACCTGGTGGGACTCTACCCATAACTGGACCACAGGTATAGACAGCTATACCCTGTACAGGAGGGATTGAGTAGCGGGGGTGTAGCTCTCTTTGTCAAGGAAAGCTACGTGTCCCTGCAAGCTGGCATTGGCACCCAGGGTGGACGACTGGAGACCCTCTGGGTTAAAATCCATGGGGAACATGGCACAGGGGACACAATAGTGGGAGTCCACTATGGACCTCCTACCCAGGATCAAGAGCTTGACCAGGAGTTCGCCAGGGAATTGGCTGAGGCCGCATGCTCCCGGTGCATGGTTGTCATGGGAGACTTCAACTACCCAGACATCTTGTGGGAAGAACGCTCGGCCAAATCCGAGAGGTTGCAAAGCTTTCTCTTGTGCGTGGATGAGCTCTATTTGACGCAAGAAGTCTACGGGCCGACGAGAGGTAAAGCGCTGGTTGACCTGGTTTTGGCAACGGGGGCTGACCTAATCAGTGACCTAACGATCGAAGGGAAGCTGGGTGGCAGTGACCATGAGCTGATTACCTTCACCATCCACTGTAAAGTTGGCAAGTCAGTCAGCGATGCAGGGTTTCAATACTGACAAGTGTAGAGTGCTGCACTTGGGCAGTGGGAACCAGCAGCACACTTATAAGCTGGAAAACTCCTTTCTTAAGAGCATGGTGGCAGAAAGAGATCTTGGAGTCATTATTGACTCCAAGATGAACATGGGCCAACAATGCGAGGTCACGGTCAGTAGGGCTAACCGTACCTTGTCATGCATCCACAGATGCATCTCAAGCAGGGCCAAGGAAGTGATCCTCCCCCTCTATGTAACACTGGTCAGGCCGCAGCTGGAGTACTGTGTTCAGTTCTGGGCACTGCACTTCAGGAGGGATGTGGACAGCATTGAGAGGGTCCAGAAGAGGGCCACCGACATGATCCGGGGACAGCAAGGCAGACCCTACAAAGAGAAGCTTTGGGACCTTAACCTGTTCAGCCTTTGCAAGAGAAGTCTGAAGGGGGACCTGGTGGCCATCTATAAACTCACCAGGGAGGACCAGCAGGGTTTGGGAGAGACCCTGTTCCCCCTAGCGCCCCCCCGGGGTAACAAGGAATAACGGCCACAAATTGTTAGAGAGTAGGTTTAGATTAGACATCCGAAGGCACTACTTCACAGTCAGGGCGGCTAGGATCTGGAACCAACTTCCAAGGGAAGTGGTGATGGCTCCTACCCTGGGGGTCTTTAAGAGGAGGCTTGATGTCTACCTGGCTGGGGTCATTTGAACCCAGTTTTCTCTCCTGCCCAGGGCAGGGGGTCAGACTTGATGATCTATCTGCAAGGTCCCTTCCGACCCTACTTCTATGAATCTATGCATCTGTCTGAGTAGAAAAGCTGACCAAATGCTCAGCCCACATACCAGACCAATACAGAACACGAGAGCAGGTCATGTTCAGCGTGTGAAGAGCTCATGATCATGAGGCTGACCAGCTCGTGATCAGACAGCCTTAACAAATCAGGAGCTGCAGGAGAAGCGTGACTGCCTGGCCAGCAGACACTCTCTTAACTGTAAATCAGCAGCCTCCTCTGATTGGCTGAAGAGTTTATAAAAGGGACAGCGCGCTAAAGCGCAGGGTCCCGGGTTCCACACAGGCCCTCAGATAGGACTGATCACCCTATCCAGGAATCCGTGTCCCCATGGCTGAATAGTCATATGAATAGTCATACGAATAGTCATACGAATAGTCACACTCTGGCTATTATTTCACCAAATAGTGAGCTCTCCATCCGCACGTACATCGGAAAAATCAATTGCTATCTCCTACCTGTCATCTTTAACTACTGCTTCACCACTGTCGTTTTGTTGTGTAACCACTGTTGAAATCTTACTGTAAGTAAACATTAAGTTCAATTTTACTCTCTTCCAACTGAGTCAGTGTCCCTTTCATCCCCGGCCTGTCCATAAGGCGGGTTGGTCATCCATCCGCCCCCCGGTTCAACTGGTAAGCCGCCTGGTGAGTGCTGCGGTTAATAACAGCATCTATGAAATCCTCGACTTCAGGAAAGCTGACTTTGACAAGCTCAGGAGGCTTGTCAGTGAAGCCCTAAAGGGCCACAACCCAAAGGGGAGGGGAGTGCAGGATGAGTGGTTGCTCCTCAAAGGAGTGATTCTGGATGCACAAGCAAAGTCTATTCCATTTCGGAGGAAAGGCAGCGAAAGAGCACAGCAGCCCCCTTGGCTCTGCAGGGAACTAGCAGACCTCCTGCATCTAAAAAGACAGACCTACAAAGGATGGAGGACTGGATCCACCTCCAAGGAGGAATATTGTGCTCTGGTCTGGACCTGCAGGGCGTGAACCAGGGAAGCCAAGGCTGCGACGGAACTCCAACTAGCTACAAGTAGCCTCCAAGGTCTGGAATAGACTGCTGCCAGAGGTGGTTCAAGCACCTACTCTGGACTCCTTTAAGAGACATTTGGATGTTTATCTTGCTGGGATCCTATAATCCCTGCTGACTTCCTGCCCCTGGGGCAGGGGTCTGGACTTGATGATCTTCTGAGGTCCTTTCCAGCCCTTATGTCTATGAAATCCATAATAAGATACTGTAGTCTGTGTCTCATTATACCATGTTAGTGTTTGCCCTGCAGGTCTGAAGAAGGCAGGGCAGGGAAGCATTGTGGACATGAGAAGGAAGTTGATGAAGTGTCTGTTGTAATCCTGATTGTGATCAGTAATCTTGGTTATAATCCTGCCTCACCTGCAATAACACTTTACCTTGCATCTACTCACTAATGGATTCAACCTACCTAAAGCAGCAAATAGAAGATGACCTCACTGGTTCTGCCTTCATATACTAGAGACATAATGACTGTGCCCTTCACCATGCTGCCCATAGACACACATGGCTAAAACAGGGCATTGTCAGGAAAAGAGGCCAGGATCCAGAGGGGTGTCCTTGCTGCTGAGGCAGCAGGAACCAAAGCCTGCAGCACACCCAAGGGAGTTGCTCTTCCAACTCCCCTGCATGGAGGCAGAGCCTCAGGGCCTTCCTCTGGCTGCCCTGCCACAGCACACCCTTGGCACGGTATGACAGCTCCAGTCCCAGGCTGCAGCCACCACAGCACCCGCCTTGCAGTTTGCAGCTGCACCAGACCAATACCCTGCAGCAGAGGGCACCACCCACCTCTCTCTGTAATGACCTGCCACCACCTGCACTTGGACAGGGTGAGTGCTCCCCAGTGGCAACAGGAGCTGCCTAGTCTGCCCCACTCACAGCTGTCCCAGCAAGACCAGGGCATGTTGTCCGGGGTAGGCTGCCTGCACTTCCTATATGCTGGGCTGGGCGATGCCTCCAGCCAGCCCTGTGATAAGGGACTAAAGGTGCCCTGGCCCCCTTGCATCATTGTAAGTAAGGAGCTCTCAGTATTTGCCAACAGGAGGAAAAGCAGTAGCCAATGTCAGTCCCTTCGCCTGCTGCTGTCATCAGCCTCAGATGAGAGACACCCTCTTTCTGTCAAACCTAATGCAACTGACAGGCTGGATTATGGTCCAGTTCCTGTGTTATCCAGGTGACCTGTTGCAGAAGAGAGTGCAGGGACCTGTGCTTAATTGGCAATTAGGGTATAATCACCTGTAAGCAGAGTT